TTCATTTTATTCCCAATCTGTCATATTTCATATTTCCTTTAAAACTGTTTAGAATGTAGTTGGAGGGTTAGGAAGTAATTTCTTTGTTTCCTAAGAAAAAAATTGTCTCGGTATTTCTCTAAAACCTGAATTAAAAGTCCGTCTTTTAGTTTTAAGATTAAAATAAACTACATTTTTAACATTGTTCCACAGTTTTCTGGACATACATAGATGGGTTATAGTTTTGGGCTGTTTTATTCCCAATCTGTCTTTGTATTTTTATAACTAATATTTTATAGGATAACATTTATACAAGGTTATATTAAATATCCCCTTCGAGCACGTCTCGCTTCGTTCTACCTATCATACCTACTAGTGTATTCTCCTTCATGCAACTAGGTTAGAAAAATATTTACTAAACTATTTGATTTTTTTTTCACAAGGTGAAAATGTTGCTAGGCAGTGTCATCTGATCTGGGGCAGTTTGTTCAGAAAATATAAATGATGAGTGGTATTTTAGACACATTTTTACTGCCTAGAAATGCGTTGGTTCGTCTTTACCTATAAAATTTACAGACATATGTCAACGATTGATTAAGTGACTGTTCTTTTACGTCTCATTTGAGAATTATTCACTCACATAGAGACGTCACCATATACAATGTACCGGTAAAAGCTTCGATTTCAAATTTAGACATCTACGGCACTCATTGTGTCAAAGCGGCCGAGATTCGAACACAACCTTCCAATCACAGACCGGAGTGAGCGCTTTACAGATTGAAATACATATCATGTTTCACTATCAACAAATTAAAACGAGCCAAGGAAGTTATGTTTAAGTTACCAATATGGGACTACTAGTATATGGGAATATATGACTGCTGCCCAATCCCATTCACTTATGTGAATAAGATTTTGTATAAATAAAAAAATAACAATATGGGAAGAATTCAGTTTTATAAGTCAATTTAACTTAACATACATAATAATTCTGCTTGTGCATTCTTCAGTTCATTTCAAAGTTTTTGTATAATTAATAATGTTATAGCAATTGGAGCAATTGCTCATAACACCGTAAACTCTTGATTAATTTTGTCAACTGCTGATCACTACTGAGAACTGCTGATCACCAATGTCAACTGTTGGTAACCACTGACAAGTACTGATCACCAATGACAACTTCTCAACACCAATGTCAACTGGTAACCAGTGACAACTGCTGATCACCAATGACAACTGTTGGTTACCAGTGACAACTGCTGATCACCAATGACAACTGTTGGTAACCACTGACAACTGCTGATCACCAATGTCAACTTCTCAACACCAATGTCAACTGTTGGTAACCACTGACAACTGTTGGTAACCACTGACAACTGCTTAACACAACTGACAACTGCTGATCACCGGTGACAACTGCTAATCACCAATGACAACTGTTGGTTACCAATGGTTACCAATGACAACTGCTAATCGCCACTGAAAACTGTTGGTTACCCTGACAACTGTTGATCACCACTGACAACTTCTTAACACCAATGTTAACTGTTGGTAACCACTGAAAACTGCTAATCCCCACTGGCAAATGCTGATCACCACTTACAACCACTGATCAACACCGACAATTGATTGTATAGAGATAGAAATAGGGAGGGTCCTGAATAAAACTCTTTCCTGTGACTGTATCAGTTCAGTTCTTTCAGACTGTATGAAATGTCATCCACTCTTGGGCTGGGGGATACTTACTATATATACTTGATTACATCAGCAGATAAATTTTATTCGATTAGAAATCACATTTTTGTCCAGTGTTAAGTCTCTGTGGTGTTCTTTTGAATTTTATTTTCCAACTCTATGCCACACATCAACAGACACTTTAAGAAATGCAATTTATTGGATATTTTAAAAAGTGTTTCAAAATTTGATACCTGTAAGTTTAATCGCTAATGTTTTTAGCTGAGGGGTATGGGAGGGGGATAAATACAATAATCTCGAAAAGAGGTCCAAGATAACGAGATTTAAATATTAAAGTTTACCTTTTTTTAAGCATCAAATATTTTAAATTCAGTAAAATGCCTTTTGACTCATAGCGCGGTATATAGGAAAAAGAAAATCCAGAATATATGACAACTTTAAGATAGTTTAATCCAGTCAAACGTATTTATGGGTTTTTTTCCTTAGCTTAAAAAACAAATGAAAACAGGAAGAATGGATAAATAAATAAAAACTTTGGGATATGTGGATTTTTTTTTCGTGATGAAGTGTTTGTACAAAGAGTTTTAAATAAAATAAAACGAGAAAATAAGCAAAGTATGAGAACGTGTATTAATTACATGTAATACATATTGACAGTGTTGAAATATTCCGAATGATGAATTCAAAACATTTTTTTTTCATCTTTTTTTTTTATTTTCTAGCCCCTCGTGAAATTTGTTAAGGACGGGAAAAAAGTTTTATATGAATCATTTAATACAGGGACGTAGCAACAGGGGGGGGGGGGCAGGAGGGGCCTGCCCCCCCCCAACTTTTTTTCCCAACATTACCTTTACTATTGGAAATGTCCACTGAAAGGTTGGTTGGCCCCTACCACCGTATAGCGATATGAAGGAAATGTAGTATTGTATGCCCAAAAGTTGAAAGTAAAAGGTGGCCTTGGAAAAAGTTGGTCACTACTCAGTACCCAACGCCCCACCCCCCACGAAATAGGATTTTCGAGTTTGGGCAATTTCCTTTTTTTTTTTTTTTTTTTTTTTTTTTTTTGCTTGTCAACTTTTACAGGTAAAAAATTAAACTTTCCCCCCCCCCCCCCCCCCCCCCACTTTCAAAAACGATGCTACGTGCCTGTAATAAATCGATAACTAAAGAATTTCATGTAATTTTATTGAAACAGTGACATTTAATTAATCTGGGATTTATGACCTTATAAAGACAAACATACAAATATTTCTACTAGCCAGTAAATATTTTTAAAATTGGAACATAAATATGTCAAATCTAATCTAATCTAATGAAGGACTGCATGAAATTTTCTTTTGTAATGTACTTTTTTCACTATTTTTAAATTTGTTATGCTTCTTGCGGTTCATAAAAATCTCAACAACAAAAATGAAACTTTCACATAAATACTATAAACTATGATGATTCATATAAAACTGTGATCTTAATTTACAACAAGTGCGAGTAGATGCGTGAACAGGAGGTACAATTTACACCGTGTGGAGGGGAAAAAAGAAGAAAGTCCCCATAAATAATGTTTTAATGGGGCGGTAAATACCTTAGCGGTCCGGTCTACTGTACAGGTGTGAAGGCGGAATCTGATTTACGGGATCTGGGTTTACCTTTGTTAATGACATGATCACCTTAACACCTGAAGTTTCTACTCTCCCAGCGGTCAGTCCCGGGCCACGGGCAGGATGAATGGGACCGCTCAGGAAGTACGACGTTGATGGGGTTTCGCGCGACACGGTGGTTATTTATTGGATCCGCATAACACATAAAGTTAGTACAAAGAAAAGCATGCATGGCCTTGAGACACTGTCCAAGTACAAATCTCTAGATGGTTGCAGAATGGCCACTAAAAAATTAATAATATATAAAAAAATAAATCCTTTCAAAAATATTTATCATTGATTTTCTTACAAATCTTATTTTTTTTTAACTTTCCAGGAAAACTTTTCGTCAAAGCTGGACGAAAAAAATATTCAATTGTAGAAATGAATCCTTTCAAAAATTAATACATAAATAGATTTTCATTGATTTTCTTACAAATCTTATTTTTTTAACTTTCCAGGAAAACTTTTCATCAAAGCTGGACGAAAAAATATGATCCCAAGTGGAGTCAATAAAAAAGGCATCTCTCTTTTTCACGTGCATATTTGTTAGCATTTAGATCTGCAGATCTGAATAATTATTTTAATAAAATCCTTGATTAATTAACATACTTGATGTACAAGCTTCACCATGTTAAATCATTTTAAAACCACATAATATATTTTAAATCATGGAATTTGTTATTTCGCGAAATGCATTTCGGAAGTGAAGTGGTTGTTTTAAAGACGATTTTCCTTGCAGAAAAAAAGAGGGGGTTCCGGCCTATTCTCTTGAAATGGGCTTTCTAGTCTAATTACTTCAATAATATTTGAGAATTTTGTAAAATTTCCGTATAAATCTACATTTAATTTTAAAAAGCAAGCAATCTTTCGTTCTTATTCCAGAGACAAAAAAAACTGGCAATTAAATAATTATTTTTTGTCTTTCTAAAAAAATAAAATAAAAATAAGGCAATCTAATATATATATATATTATATATACCCAATAAGACATACATTTAAACAACTGCTATATTTTTTCTTCTTTCTATCTTTCATTGTAAAATTGAAACCATATACTTTCAATTCTAAGCACAGCAAGAGTTGAATGTTTAGTATACCTGTCATGTAATTTAGAAGAAAAACATGCAAAAAACAATCCCGTCACAATGAGTCAGTAGAAAATTAATCAGATGCTATTTGTTTGTGTAGTTATTGTGTTCGACAATTAATTATGTCAATAAATCAGCTCGTTCTGATGCAGTATTTACCTGCATGTGGCCGACCCCCTCAGGTGTGTCCGCGCACCTGATTATATACCTATACACAGAGTGGGTATCCTTTATTGGTATATCTACAAAATCTTCTGTTGAATTGGATTAATAATATTATCAAATCAATCTTTTAATTAGGTTATCATTCACAAAAGACCCGTTAATCTAATATAAGGATACCACTGAAATTCCTTTTCGACACCAATTAACACATAGAGTCTATACCTTTGATATATAACAAATTTGTTTTAAAAACCAATATGTCACGGTCAGATTCTTTTTTTTATATATATAATTTGGCATTGTCCGAACAAAATCATTTTAATTAGATTAAAATATGTATGTAAAGAATGCGATGAAGTTGTATATAAGCGCTTCAGGACATATCTCATTGGTCGAAGAAATCCCGCCCACCCCCAAATTTTCGTAATGGATTAAGCCCAAAGCGCGTAGAGTACGAATCGGCATCGAACAATTCCGTATACTAAAATTCACAGGATATACAGGGTATTTGACATCTATTAAATTCAGATTAAAAAGGTTCGTGCATCTTCGATAACTGTGAAAGTAGAAAGAAAACCAGACGAATGGAGATTTGGAATTTCTGAGGAACACCTGTACAAGTTGAAATAAGTTAAAGGGATAGCCTTCTCTGGCGATATTACACTGCATTCAGGATTTTACTGTGGGATATATAATATTATAAATCTCTGCGCCGTGCCATTGTAGTGATGAAATTTTGAGAAAAATATATCCAATTATTCAAGATGAAACCCAAATTATATTTTATGGATTACATTACGTGGAATATTATGTTCGTAGTTGTGATGATTTTAATTTCGTTGAATGCCGCTATGGCATGTCCGAATGAATGTGTTTGTCAACAAAAAACCGTAGATTGTAGCTATAAAAAATTACAAATTATTCCAAGTGGAATTCCTCCAGCAACACATCGCTTGTAAGTATAGTGCACGAATTAATTACAAGAATTAATTACACTAAGAAATACTTAATCTCGCAGAGCAGGTGTGAAGTTTAAACCTTATTAATGCATTTTAATGTCGACTTTTCGACTTTTTAATTTTTTTATTATCACAATATTAAAGATAGTTAAATGTAAAACAATAGATTTTTTACGAGGTTGTCCGATAATGATAATTTAAGAATTGGTGGAATTGGTCAGCAAGGATAACCTGTTTTTAAAGTATATTCTAAATATTTATTTAACATTGAGCACCCCAGTCCGCTTATGCGATTAAGCCGTTAAGGGTATTAATAAACATAAAATTGCAATGAATACATGTTAACAGTTTTACAGCTAGCTGCCTTCGAAAATACAATAACAAACTAACATTGCTATCGCTTTTGATATCGCAAATAATTGAAGACATATTGATAAAAGTGTCTTAAAAGTAAAGACCCAATAAGGCGACAGCTTAAAATATCTACGTAGTCTAAATACGTTCTCGCTAAGGTACTTCGTGTGATAAAGAATTTATGAAATATATAGCTAAGCCAGGGATATATATTTACTAAATCCCTATAAGTAAAATACATAAAATATGAATAGAAATATGCAAAACTTGCTATACATTAAATATCGTGTATTTGATTATTTAGAAAGTCATAATGTATATAGAATTATTCTTTCGGTTCACTTAAAAAAATGAGATTCCTGACCAAAAAAAAAACATTGACTGTGTTGTCTGCATGAAGAGAGAGAGAGAGAGAGAGAGAGAGAGAGAGATTTTAATAATATATTTTTTTATTTCCAGAGAATTACAAGGCAATAATATAACGGTGATAAGAAGAAATGATCTACAGAATTTAAATAATCTGAAAGTTTTGTAAGTTTACTACTATTCTACAGTTTGTTTCTGTTTTAATGACTGGTATTTATTGGTGTGGATTTTATCAAATTATCTACATACATGCTTTCTTTTTTTGTTATGTAACACTGTTTTATTTAATTATCTTGTTGCATTTTTGCTTGATGATTTTATTCCACCTTGTTACATTTCATTGTGATTACCATAACCTTTCTTTCGGTATCTTATTTCATATTTTGTTATCAATCCTAAATATATACACAAGCCAAAAGCACGCATTTATATATATTCGCACAAGAGTATTACATAATTTCGGATAAAAATGAAAAGAACTTCATTAAGGGAAAGAACATTATTTTCTAACACCAAACATATAAAATCGGCGAAATCAGTTGCTTTGAGTGAGTTTGACACTTGCCCCAAAGAAAAACTCCTTGTCCACTCCATAATGTTTAATCTCTCTGTATTTACTCTGCTAGGTCTCTTATCACTCACACCGCCAATTCGACATGTGCTTACATAACTTCTTCAGCATGTATCAGTTTAATGTGACTTCTTCAAGCAAATAAGTCCAAGGGGGCTTCTAACGAAATTAAATTCTCACAGTCATCAGTTTGTACATAAAGCAAACTCGGAATTATTGGAATATTGTTAAAAATTGGGTTACCATGTTTTCTCATACAAACATTGTTTTATTAGAGATCATGGGTTTTGAAGTTCCTTTTCCCCCGAACACCTGATCAACGTATGCTTCAAACTTAATTACATAACAAAAGCAGATGTTATAGTTTTTTTTTAATGGGGGGGGGGAGGGTATAAACTGTCTTTTCCGATTATATAGATGAACTAAAAACAAAATGAAAAGAAACTGTTCTGAATTGAATGAATTAAAATTAAGTCCGAGATAGAAGTATTTGTTCGTAAGTAGATATTCAAAAAAGTATATTTTAAAAAAAATCATAAAATTTCGCAAGAAATGTATCACCTTTTAAAATAATTATCTTCACACAAAGTTTCTATTATCTGCCACCCAAAGTGTCTGGATTTCAATAAAAGACAAAGTATATCAAATATCATCTCTTATTACACGAAGCCCAACTGGTTTTTTGTTTCAGACAATTGCTAGAAAACAAGATACACACTATAGAGCAGGGAGCATTTCGAGATCTTGACCAAATGGAAAGATTGTAAGTAGATTACACAGCTGCAAGGGCCATTTAGATCTTGTAGTTATTGGCGATCGGTATACTGCAGGGTGAAGCTTTTTGATATTATGAATTGTGCATTATGAATGGAATAATGAAATCAGGGGCGGGGTGGATTTTTGAATCTGATTTTTAACGAAGTGTATGAGAAGATAATATGATTGAATGCATGATTTATGAAATCCACTGAAAGAAATATTTATGAATTTTCCTCAAGATATATCTAGTTTTGTCGACAACCATGTTTTGTTGTTTTAGTTACGTAAGTTTGAGTTTACATTTGAGATTTATGCCCGTTTAATTAATTTCGTTTACGACTTTTCCGTTATCTCCTGCAGTTATGATAGATCTATACTTGTAATGATTTGTATCGTTTTCTTCCCCATGTTTCGACAAATTGTGACCATTATCTAAATAGGGCAGTGGCTTATCATAAGTCTCGCCCATTATCACCCAACGACATCGACCCCCATGGCCAGTATTAGACATGCAGAGCAGACTCTTGGGCGACTTTAGGGTCTTGGTTTGTTCTTAACACCCGCGGGGCAGGAGAAAATTTACTTTGCCATGTCTATCAGAGATTATCGGTGAATCAATTATATTCAATTATCTGCTCTTTATTGTCAAGGGTAGTTGATGTTTTGTTTAACACATCTTAAAGAATTTGTCACTATGAGCGATGACAGATTTATTACAATCACAGAAAAATTGCATCCGGAAATACAAAGCTCATCGGTAGAAATTCCGATTTTAGAATCACCGGAAATTATTTTTTTGAGATGACATAAGAGCGGGAAGCTGAAGAAGATGAAAAATATGAACCGATTTGGTGGTATTTGGTATATTTTGGAAATGAAAAAGAAAACCACGATTGGTTTTATTTCTATTTAGCTTTTACGCGACCACTGTTCGCGCACGACCACAAGATGGTTTTCACCTCACATAACTCTTGTCGTGTTGATGATGATAAGTTAATTGTATTTTTTCTTGTTGAAATCGTACAATATGATGGAATACAGGACTGGGCCCTTTTGTGATTAGTTTCTAGCAAAATGATAATATACGAAGTAATATTTTTTATGTAAATGATCATCATAGTGTGCACTGTGTGAATTTTGTGCTCACCATGTTACTCTTGCATTTGGCCACAAAGTGCAAGTAAAGCAGAAAGTAGGTAAAAATACCTTTGGAGGCCATAGGTATTAATATACGTAGGTAGAAATAGTCTTTTATCCTGTTGATGATGGTAGACATTCTTTTAATGTTGGTACAATAGTGGAATAGGACCCTTTTGTAATATTTCCAATATTTATTTCAATGATACTATAAACCAGTGAATTTTGAGTTGACTCTTTATTAAAGTTGCCACTGTCAGATGAAATAGTACTAAGGCATATCCCACTGTCCCAATACCAACAATATTCCAAATAGCACGTAACATGATCATGCAGTTAATGACCACTGCATTAGAAATTGATAGGAAATGTTGAACTGTATTATATATTGACTGGCATAATAGAGGGAAATAAGGGACAGTTATATTGTTTTGTGTGTATGTGATCTCCATTGATTGACTGAAAAACTACAAGTTTTTGTATCTGAAGTATATTGCATGTTATCATTCAGTCATTTATTGATATAAAAAAAAAACTCTGCCCTGCTTTTGGTAATTTGTAATTTTTTATTTGGTCACAAGCAGTATTATATAGCTTGAATATACAAATAATACAAAGTTTTTAATTTTATACAATTTGAAGCAAAAACAATTCAATGTTACATGTAACTCTTTAATCTATGTGTAAAAATTCTGAATAAATAGATTTTTAAAAAAATATTAAAAAGAAAGAATAAAGCCAGTGATTATTTTCATTGACCATTTTCTTTGTCCTGAAAAGATATATTTTTTAATTCATACTTTGTAGGAGAATAGACAGAAATGAACTGACAGAGCTTCCAGACAACCTGTTTGCTTCAATGAAAAAGCTTCAAAGATTGTAAGTACCTACTTGGACCACTGTTTAAATTTTGTTTATATAGACCTCAAGATTAAGTGAAAAAACAAATGTGGGACATTTGGTTATATCGTTTTCCCGAATATCTGTTTATAAACTTGAAGATTAGGTCAAGGAGGATGTGCTAAAAAAGGGATTGAATTCAGATTCTTAGTCAATATTACATTATTATTCAGGCCCCATAGAAAGCTTTTACATTTTACATTTTAATTCTAGCAGATTTTTGGGCTGCAAAGTGGTAGCAGTCTTTAACACTGTGGGAAAGGATGATTCACTTTGTTCTCTTGTTCTGTGACTTGGTCTTATAAATCTGATTCTTAATTCAAGGACACATTTCACAATCATTATTTCAATGTTATTTTTTAAGCCGTTATTTACAAATGGAAATGCTGCTCTGGTCTGAATGATTCAGGTGTTGCAAAATTTATGGAATCTAAATTCTTAGTTTTGGATGCATTTGCCATTTGAAAACAAATTTGAGGTGGGATTGAATTTGAGTATTAAATTTTCAAAGTTTGAGAAAAAGAAAATCCTCCATTTATAATGTAGATCATGAACATGAATATTGATTAGGCCTACTCTTTATTTCGTTGGGAAAACTGTGAAGTTGAAGTTTGCAGGGTTCATCTGATAAATTTCAATTTAATAACACTATATCAGGTTTATACACGAAAAATAGAAAGAATTGAGAGGTGCTATAAGTTAGGAATACCTAGAATAAATTTTCACACTTAGCAAATTTACCACTAAAAGATGTTTTTCTTTCCTTTACCTGTGTTTTAAAGTTAAAAATATGTTTTACAAACTGATGAAGGAATTTGTTGTATTTTGCCAAATGACATAATGGAATAAAGAGTCCATTGTAAGAAAGATCTTTGAAAAAATCCTGACTTTTTGTCGGAGTTGTCAAGGTGTTTAGGATGTTTGTACCTCCAGTAAGAGAAAAAGAAAAGGTGTTATGAAAACATTAACATGTCTAACTGAGCTGGCATTAGGACTGCGCTTCACCTTAAAATGTTCTGTCACACCAGGATAAAGTAAAAAGACTTTATAATTGAAAAATAAACCCATTAATTGTAAAGAAGCATGAGGTGGGAGGTGGGATTTTTGGCAGCTCAGGTTTTTCTTCGAATAAACTAAAGTCTTTAAAATGCATTAATGCAAGTCAGTGTTTAAAGATTACGATTGCACTTCCAATTGAAGAAAGTATTAATGTCATGGGAATTTTGACTTCTTGATATAAAAACAAAATCTTTTTTTTTTTTAAATTGACTTAACCTTTACAAATTGTTGCTGAATTCTCATGTTTATTAGGCATTCCATCTACAAAACTTGAATTAGTCTATGTTTTTTATGATGTATTTGATATGATTTTGACAGCCATATTTCAATATGTAGATTAAGGGATATGCCTCAGTAACATCAAAGAGAAAATCTAAAATCTATTTCATTTTTATTGTGACAAGTTCTTGACATTTCTGTTTTTCTGGTGATAATATTGTGACCACACATAGAATGATCAAGATTGAAGAAGAAAAACAAAAATATTTTTTATATAGAAAACACATTCAATACCCAGTTCTCTTTTGATGTCATGAATTGATGTTTAGCCTAAAATTGATAAATAATGGAGTAGGATAGGGTCTAGGATGTAGCCTAAAATGGAATAGGAATGGGTCAAATTTTAACCTAATACTGAAAAATAATTGAGTAGGAATGGGTCTAATTTCATCCCCAAAATGATAAATTTTGCAGTAGGAATAAGTCTAGAATTTAGCCTAAAATTGATACATACAGGAGTAGGAATAGCCTAAAATGTAGTAGGAATGAGTCTAGTGTTTAGCCTAAAATTGATAAATAATGGATTAGAAATAGGTCTATTAATATATAGCCTAAAATAGAGTAGAAATGGGTCTAGTGTTTAACCTAAAATTTATCAATAATGGAGTAGTCATGGGTCTATAGGAAATGACTTGGCTTATAGATATGGTACCTTGTGGATAATATCAGATAATGGAAGCTTATCTATAGCAGGTGGAACATAAATATTATGAGAATTATGGTACAAATGTAACATATATACTTCTTTATTAAGAGAACAGAAGTTCTGTGGGTTAATATGTTGGCCCATGTGGTAGTAATTCAGAACAGTTTATATGCACTTAATGTCGACAAGGGGTCTGTAAGACGGAGTTATTTCCCCTAATCATCTGGATAATCGAAGTGTATAGCTACATGGGGATGACTGGAAGAAAGGTGTCACATAGAAATCTTATTTTCACTATAAAGATTTCGGATTTGTTGGAAGGCTGTACTTTTACATTGTCCAGTTAATCCTGATGCTTTCATCATGGGTAATACATGTGGCATTGACTTGTCTATGCTTGGAATACAATGGGCTGTTTTGCAGGTTCACACATTTTGATCTCATGAATGTCACTTTCCTAAGTCTTAAAATCTTTTGAAATTTTTCATTCTTATTGCATGTAGAAGGTCTGTGGACAATAAAATAAAAGCAAAACTTGGCTGAAAATGTACAAACATAGACGTATTTTCTTTTTAGGAACAATGTATTTGATTGAAAGGACACACACGGCGTTTGAGTAAATTTGAACGTAGAAATAAGTTGACGACAAAGTTCTGATGCTTTATTACAGATTTTATTGCAAGCAGGTTGTTGTAACATGCATTTACCAACATGTTGAGGTAGCCCCATTACTTCTATAAAAACCCAAGAAATAAAACCTTTAAAACAATAAAGGTAAACTTATGAAATAAAAGATTTTTATGCTGTACAATAGTGAACGCATTGTTTGAATGCCTTGGAGTCTCCAAATTTTAAAATTATGCCAAGGCATGCTGGTAGTCTAAGCTACTGTTGGCTAATTACCCGGGTAATGTAAATTTGATCCATTCTGAGTATATGTTAACCGTAACATGTACATCAAGGCCAGCCAAAGAGACTGAAGTTTGAAAGATTGATCAATGTTGATAGGTTTTAAGTCTTATCAAATATTGCCATAAAATCATGGCCATTGTGTGTGCAGAAGAATGGAAAAAATAATAAGTTAGAGGAGGCATGTATATATTATTTACCATCTTACAAATAAGAACCAGTGCCTGGCGTACTTTGTGGTGCCAGTAATCTAGCTTCTATGATGGCGTCCTCTTCAGTTTTCACACATGCACATCATTTTTACGATGGGAGATAACAACTTTGCATAGAAGAATATGTCATGGAGACCAATTTCATTATAGACTGTTATTTGAGAGGGGTCCATTATTTTTGCCGTCACAAGGAGCAAGGGAGACTCAAGCATTTGAGTTGTGCTTAAAAAGTTTTTAAAATATTTAAGTATGTTTTGGTTTTTTTGATGTCTGAGAAGTGCAATTTCATGCATTTTGTTTTTATGCTACCTTTATTTCTCATTGCTAATGGAGTTGTGTGCTAAGTCATTCCAATAAGTGTATATATTTATAGCTTGTTTATGATGTCTGTAGACCAGGGAGTTTTTTTTTTTATTGTTGCTTGTTTAAATATGTCTTGCATATATAAACATATAAAAAAAATAACAGGGAAGCAAAAAAAAAATAATATTGTAGTAAGTGTATTGCTTGCTTCGTCATTCATGAAATGATCTGGTATAACCCTCTCGTAGTTACAAAATGTGTAATGAAATGTGTGCTCTCTTTGATTCTATCACTGCCTTGACATCTTTCTCGCTATATGCTTGGCTTGAATCTGTCTCTGTGTGTTTTGGTGCAGAAACTTATATACCCGCTGGATGTAAGAGGTTTCAAAGAAAATGACATTTTTTCTCTCTCTCAATTTTTCACTATATATTTATAATTTTTTATTTGGCCCAGAGCTTTCAGGTTTTAAAGAAAAAGGTTATTACTCAGTTGTTAACCTAACATACGAGGTGCATTTAAAGTGATGACAGCTTTTGAAAAATGATTTGTGTTAAGTTGTATCATGCAGTAAATATACCTCTGTAAAGAAAACGCTAATGTGGATGAATACACATAGAAGAGAAAGCCTTCACATCACACAAAGAAATATTTCTTTCATATTGTTATAGGTCTGTAAGTTCAAAGGGATTAGGTGTAAATGACTGATGCTAAGTGGACTTCAGTTGATAAGAAGTTACACCTTGATGAAATAATTTTGTTTCATTCATACATTTATCTGTTCTTATTGCTTCACTTAAAAGTATCAGATTTCTTTAAGGTCTGAAAATGATTGGCACAATTGAATACACAGAAATGTTTTGCTTATAATGTTAGAAGTGGAAAATTTTATTCAGGAGTGGTAAAATTGTACGTAATTGGGATTTTGTGTGTGTTTGAGAGAGAGAAAGAAAGAGAGAGGGAGTGAGATTTTTAAAATTTGACCAATCATGTGATCTATACAACATATGTAATGTTAAGGAACATCTTGTAAAGAAATTACTAGAACTGACAAAAGTGAATGAAAGACGGAGAGGAATTTATTTTCATGAACCTAACTTTGATTTCACTGATAAACCCTCCTACATGTGTGTTTTCTATCAGAGCTACCTCCAATGAACTGACCAACTGATTCAAGTTTCTACATCTCAAGGCAAATGTTTACAAGATTCAGGAATAATAATCATCGGCAGTTTGGACTCCACAGCCTTTATTTTGAAGAACCAACATGTCTTTAAATGAAGTATGCACAAGAATTATTTCTGTACTGTCTAGTACAGTAATATTTGAGCATTTACTGAAATCATTTATTGCCCTCAACAGATATAAGAAAAAAAAATTTTTTAAAAGATCTTAGCCATATTGGACTGTTTTATATTTTTAAAAGATGCCTCTAATTAAGTTACAAGAACTATATGCAGGAAAGTAGTAGTCAAAGTGTAAAATACATCATTCAGTATGTTAGAAGTTTTGTTTTGAATACTTCAGTTAACTGTTTGTAGTGAAGTTCTGCTGACCCTATTGTTTGACAG